CGCACGCACAACATCTGTGTGCTATTTGTTATTAAACTGTGTTTAATAAAAATGCTGCAAATGGATCCCTTTGTGTCAGCCACTTTGTTACATTGACATAAAAAACTATAACAATAGCCGTTTGCATTGATACCAAGAACGATAACTAAATTAACATCAAGAACGGCAACTGTAACATTAACTAATTGTGTTCAAACTAATAATGACAACTATTATAATAGCTATATTATGATTTAATATACCAATTTACCAATTACCGTAACTAGCAATAACTGCATTAATGTTCACTCCAAAAGCATTATCGATAATAAAGATATTAGCATTCGTGCTAAAAACGACAACTTTAACGATATCTATTTTAGCATTTACATCAAGAACGATAAACAAAACAATTATATATTGCCATCAAACATAACTATAACATTAACTCTTTGCATTGATACCAAACAAAATTAACAATAAGAACGTTTTTGTATTTATACCAATAATGACAACTATAAGAATAGCTATACTACGATGCAAAGCAATGACGGTAACTATGACAACTGCATTAATGTCCATTCCAATAATTATATATTGACACCAAAATTAACTATAACAAAAACTGTTTGCACTCATACCAAGAACGAAAACTAAATTAACATAAAGAATGGCAACTGTAACAATAACATACCAATAATGACAACTATTATAATAGCTTTATTACGATACAAACCAATGACTGTAACAATAACTGCGTTAATGTGAACAACAAAAGCATTAACTATAATAAAGATATCAGCATTTGTGCTTAAAAGGACAACTTTAACAATGTCAGCATTCACGTCAAGAACGATAAACATAATAATTTTATATTGACAACAAAAATAACTATAACAATAACTGTTTGTATTGATACCAAGAACGATAACTAAATTAACATAAAAAAATGACAATTATAACAATAACTATTTTTGTTTTCACACCAATAATGACAATTATAGGAATAACTATTTTACGATACAAACCAATGACGGCAACTGTAACAATAACTATTTCTGTATTCATACCAATAATGACAACTATTATAATAGCTTTATTACGATACAAATCAATGCTGTAACAATAACTGCGTTTATGTTAACAACAAAAGCATTAACTATAATAAAGATATCAGCATTTGTGCTTAAAATGACAACTTTAACAATGTCAGCATTCACGTCAAGAACGATAAACATAATCATTTTATATTGACAACAAAAATGACTATAACAATAACTGTTTGCATTGATACCAAGAACGATAACTAAATTAACATTACAATTAAATTAACAAAAAAAAAACAATTATAACAATAGCTATTTTTGTGTTCATACCAATAATCACAATTACAAGAATAGCTATTTTACGATACAAACCAATGATGGTAACTGTAACAATAACTGTCTAACTATAATAAAGATATTAGCATTCGTGCAAAAAATATCAACTTTAACAACTTCTTCAACTCCTACAAATCAGAGGCTGTAACCACCAAAATAACTTTTCTAATGTCTATTTTAAAAGTATTAACGATAATAAGCATATTAGCATTTGCGCTAAAAATGACAACTTTATCAATATATATATATATATATATATATATATATATATATATATATATATATATATATATATATATATATATACTCCAAAAAGATTAACTATAAAAAAGGTATAAGCATTCGTGCTAAAAACATCAACTTTAACAACGCCTATTTTAGCATTCACATAAAGAAATGCAAACATAATAATTATATATTGACATGAAAAATAACTATAACAATAACTGTTTGCATTGGTATCAAGAACGATAACTAAATTAACATCAAAGAACAGCAACTGTAACAATAACTATTTTTGTTTTCATACCAATAATGACAACTATGAGAATAGCTATTTTACGATACAAACTGTAACTATAACAATAACTCCGTTAATGTCCATTCCAAAAGTATTAACGGTAATAAGGATTTGCGCTAAAAATGAAAACTTTAAATATTTATATGTTAGCATTCACATCAGGAACGACATACTTCCATACTATATAATACACTAAAATCAGTATGCGAGCCGAGTAGGTTGTCTAAAATCTTAGAATTCGAAAAACAGTACCTGGATTACTTACTACTACTAAAAACCACAAGTTTAACGATGTCTATGTTAGCATTCACATCACAAACGATAAACATCATAATTATACTTTGACATTAAGAATAACTATAAGACTAACTGTTTGCATAAATACCAAGAACGATTACTGAATTAACATTAAGAACGACAACTGTAACAATAACAATTTTTGTGTTCAAACCAATAATGACTATTATAAGAATAGCTATATTACGATACAAACCAATGATAGTGACTATAATAGTAACTGCAATAATTTCAAAACCATTAACCATAATAAAGATATGACAACTAAAACTAAACAAAGTGACAACTTTACCGATATCTGTTAGCGTTCAAATCAAGAACGATAAACATCATAATTAAAAATAACTCTATTGAATAGCCATGAATATGCTGTATTTGGAATTGAAGAATAAACTCATGATGTTGTTTCAAAAGGGAAAAAAAGGTTAAAACAAAGATCATTTTGGGTGTTTTGCTTTCAAAACATGCACTTTTGCTACCGTAGTACATCAGAGTGACATTACAGGATTGTCGTCAGGTAGTGAGATTTGTGATTAATGGCCACAAACAATCGATTAGCATTTTCCACCTCCTCATTTCCCCCCAGTGTTTGAACAGTGTGTAATGTCAAAGCCAAAGTAGAAGATTAATTTGGTCTTACCTGGGAAATTTATGACAATTAGCCTGTTGGGAGAAAAACAGTACTTGGTGAGCTGTTTCTGATTGGTCCAACAGAAGCAAAGCAGAGATTCTGATTGGTCCAAACAGCAAAAACGTAAACGCGCATTTTATTTGCAGAAAGTGGGTGCATATTAGCATAGACATTACTGCAGGGGTGTAGATCTTTTAATTTTAGAAAATATATAAAATAGCATCGCCACTGTTAAAAAAAGCATTTTTTTGAAATCTGAGTATTTTATTTTCTTTGTTTTTTTAACATGAGAACGTTAAAAGCTGCGCAAAAAAGCTGCATAAACAACACCAAAAGGCATTACAAATGCTGAAATTTAATTTGGTTTCCAAAGAGCCTCTGCTTTTCCTTTGACAGTGGCGACATGCTAATCCTCCGGGGCTTCAGCTAGTCCTGCTCTATTACTCTTTCTCATTAGGGGAAATGTGGTCATTCTCAGCAGACGATTTCATCGCATTATTTCTGAGACGAGCTCATGCTGCAACAAGCAACAGGCCAAAGCAACTGGATTTCAGCTCATGGCGACTTTCTGGGATGAATCTGGCAAGCACTGGGACACAAGGTTGCTTTACACCCCGTGGCTGGAGGAAAGGTAACTTTAGGGGTCAAACAAGGGGATAATGCTTTTAAAAATACAGACTATTTTGATAAAGGCACTCTTGTTTATTAGAATTTACATTGTGATATTTAGATCAAACGTAGTAAAAGCTAAACTATAAAATATTTAGCCAAAGCTTTTTTTGTGGTTCATTAGTAAATGGCACAAAGTTAATTTATGTGTATTTATTTAACAAACTAAAAGTCCTATGATTCAATAAATGATGCTTGGAAAAAAAAAAAAAGATTAAGAAAAATACATTTATAAATACATGCATTTATAAACAAATACATTATTATATTTTGTTTTACTTTTTTATGTTTAAACATTTTCTTAGAAAGCTGTAAAAACTAACAAAAAACAAATAATTATTCAAATAGTTAATTCTTTTAACTTAAATTAAATCATATAACAATTTGTTATCTACATTTAGAAGGCTAGAAATCATATATAATAGATATATTTTGATCTATACCGTAACTGTATATTTGTGATAAGTATACAGTATGAAACTTTGTAAAATGTAAAATATTGCCATGATAGGTGCCGGAAGCCAGTAAACATGCAAAATAATGTGAAAAGAAACACATTATTTACTCCTGATAACTTACATCTGCTCATGTGATCAAATATGCATTAGTTTATTTCTTGTCGTTAACAACCTGTTAAGCGTTTGTGATTATTAATTTAATTAAAAGATACTGAAATGTGAAAAGGAGCTCAAATTATTTGTATTTGCTTGTTCTTTGCTTCTATTTACAATTCATTTAGAATAAAACAAATCAATCAAATAAAAACAAACAAACAAACAAACATAAAAAATAATTAATTAATCATTTTGATTTATGAATCATTTGATTATAAGAATTAAGTAATTAATTCTTATAATTAATCAATTAATTAATTATAAGAAAGAAATGATTTTTTATATAAATTCAATAAAACATAAACTGAAATAAATTAAAAAATAATAATGAAATGAATAAAAATAAATAAATAAATGGTTCAGTTGTAATTATTGTTTTAAAATGTAAATAAAAAAAACATGTTTTAAATTTTAAATACATATATAAACAAATAAACAAACATGAATAAATAAATAAATAAACAAACAATAAATTATAAATACATAAATGAATAAATAAATGAATAAATAAATAAATAATATGAAAACAAGAAATAATACATAAATTGATAAATAATAAATAAATAAATAAATAAATAAATAAATATGAAAACAAGATATAATAAATAAATTGATAAATAAATAAATAAATAAATTGATAAATAAATAAATAAATAAATAAATAAATAAATAAATAAATGAGACATACAATTTTAATAACTCATTAAAACAAACAGGGGTAAATAAATAAATAAATAAATAAATAAATAAATAAAGAGACAAGCTTTTTTTATTCTATAAAAATATTATATTTTGATTCTATAAAAAATAAAATGAACCGAGGAAAGTAAATAAATAAATAAAAACACAAAAGCAATTAGTTTAAACTTTTATTTTCTAGACACGTCAGTCTCCAAATTCATTATTCAGTCATATTGAACTCATCACGAGCAGATGCTCATTATCAAATATCCCATCATCCACTTTTTAATTATTAAGTTTTCTTTATAAACACACTCACTGTTGGGATCCAGATTTTCGCAGAGCTCGGTCTTGGCCTCTCCGTTGGGCCGGTCGCTGGGTTTATGGGACAGCCGGGAGGACATGGTGGCCGCCGTCACCACCGCCTTGAAGCTGCGCTTGCGTTTCTGCACGTTGAGCTCTGGGTGGAAGATGATGACGTACACCTTGGGCATGTAGAGCATCCCGAGAGCCACAGACGCACTCAGATTCATAGAGATTGTCAACGTCGTCGTCTGGATGTAGAGCTGCAGAAGAACAACAATGGAGAACGACATTATTCTGGGCAAGAGCATTCACAAAAAGAGTCATCAAAGACCTGAAAAAAAGATATGATGCCAAAACAGACCAAACAGTACACCTGAAAATTACAATTTACTTTTGGAGAAAAATCAATCAATCAATCAATCAATCAATCAATCAATCAATCAATCAATCAATCAATCAATCAATCAATCAATCAATAAATCAATCAGTCAGTCAATCAATCAATCAATCAATTAAGAGGATTCAATCAATCGTTATTAAACAAATAAATAGCATTTACAATTTAATAATAGCAGCATTTTTTACATTTATGCATTACCTGATGAATTCAACAACATTAATGATTCAACAACTTTATGGACTCATATATAAATCCATTAAATACAATTATTTATTGTATTGTATTTATTGTACTGAGCCACTGTGCTGCCCAATAATAATAATAATAATAATAATAATAATAATAATAATAATAATAATAATAATAATAATAATAACAATAATAAATAAATAAATAAATAAATAAATAAATAAATAAATAAATAAATAAATAAATAAATAAATAAATAAATAAATAAATAAAAATAATGCAAATCACTTTTTTTATAATTTGGACTAAATTGTAGATCAACCAAATAACATCAACGTCAAAGAAAGAAAGAAAGAAAGAAAGAAAGAAAGAAAGAAAGAAAGAAAGAAAGAAAGAAAGAAAGAAAGAAAGAAAGAAAGAAAGAAAGAAAGAAAGAAAGAAAGAAAGAAAGAAAGAAAGAAGACAGACGGATGGATGGAAAGATGGATTGTTGGATGGAAGTAAGAAAGAACGGGAGGATGAATGGATTGAAGGCAGGAAAGATCGATGGAAGGGAGAAAGGAAAGAAATAGAACTAAATTGAAGGTCGACCAAATAACAAGAAAGAAAGAAAGAAAGAAAGAAAGAAAGAAAGAAAGAAGGATGGATGGATAGAATGAAGGAAAGAAAGAAGGATGGATGGATGGATGGATGGATAGAAGGAAGGTAGGAAGAAGAAAATAAAAAGGATGGATGGATGGAATAAAGGAAAGGAAGAAAGGATGGATGGATGGAAGGAAGGAAGGAAGGAAGGAAGAGAGAAATTAAGGAAGGATGGATGGATGGAATGAAAGAAAAGAAAGAAGGAAGGATGGATTCAAGCAGGAAAATAAGGATGGATGGATGGAGAGATGGAATGAAGGAAAGAAAGAAGAAAGGATGGATGGATGGATGGATGGATGGAAGGAAGGAAGAGAGAAATTAAGGAAGGATGGATGGATGGAATGAAAGAAAAGAAAGAAGAAAGGATGGATTCAAGCAGGAAAATAAGGATGGATGGATGGAGAGATGGAAGGAAGGAAAGAAAGAAAGACTCATTGATTCACGTTTCAGGTAGAAATAAACAGCATAAAGACAGCAGTTCTCCGAAGAGGCATAAAAAGTGGCCATCAAAAGGCAGAGATATAAAGGTGTAATGTTGGCAGATCATAAATTATGGAGTCCATTAGATATTTATGAGGAGCCCAGTACAAGATTCAAGACAAAATAAAGGATAAAGTGAAAGTGAACAGGTCAGTTCAATGTTGACGTCCTGCTGGGAGAATTCAAAGCCAAATGGATGATAATCGTCTGTAAAAACTCCGGCAGCTGTCATTGCCTTCTACTTTTCTTGAATGAGAAAAAAAGAATTAAAAAAAACGAGCTTGTCGGGGTATTATAATGAAGGCTTTCATACCGTGGCCACATCACATTAGTGCTACGGCAAATATTCATTTCGTGTGGCTGTTAACGGCAATCTGGCAAGTATGTAATTACCAATATCCTCAATGTGTTTAATCTTTAATGTACTGCGAGTTCAAAGCCTGTTACGAGGGTCATGGCTGCGTTTTCAATGAAGAAAATGGCTGCTATTGATGAAACATAAGGGGAATGAATTAAGAAAATCATTTAGAAAAACATCCAAACAGTCGACGAAAATTCATGAATGAATATAAACCTCATTCTGGTGTAATAATCAGGGAACTTTGCTGCCCTATCATGGCTCCAATAGGCACAATGATATTTCACAGAATCTAATAATGTAATGCAAGTGTAGGTCTAAGTGATGGGGACTATTTTTTAGGTGCTGCAGAGTATAGTTCCTAGTCATTTCAGCCTATAAAATGGCAACTTGGCAAAATGGCAACTACAGAGGAGTCGAGCTTCACATAAGAAAATGATCAAATAGCTAATTTTTGAGCAGGATGCTAATGGTCTAATTCAAGTCAATGATTTATGCTAAGCTAAGCTAAAATGCTCTTGCCATACATGGAGAGAATAATATACAGAACATTAAATTCATAAAGTAACAGAAATAGGTTGCTATTTTCTAGGTCAGGGGTTCCCAAACTTTTCAGCCCGCGACCCCCAAAATAACAATGCCAGTGACTCGCGACCCCCAATATCCTCTGACGTGGTTATAAATTCAGAAACCTTGCATGCAATGACGCAGACACACCAATTAAATTTGTGTCAGTGCTTAAAATGTACCAGAAAGTATAACCTGATGTTATAAAATCAAAATGCATCTGACGCTATTGCTTCCTTTAATATAATGTAATTACCCCAGGGGTCGCAATCCAATAGAACTAGTAACTATAAGCTACTATAGTAACTATATAGTATATAGTAACTATAAACGACTATTTTTATTTTCAGTATAGTTATGGATAAAATATGTTCATTCTTATGGTTTAAAAAAAATAAATAGATTTTTGGAACTCACCAGGCGACCCCCCCCTTCATTGCCCCGCGACCCCTCGGGGGGTCCCGACCCCCACTTTGAGAACCACTGTTCTAGGTCATTATGACTATACGCTCAGGACCTATTTTGGCATATCAATCAGGGAACTTCACTGCCGTATCATGCCTCCAACAGGCACAATGACATTACACAAATTCGAACTAGTAATGCAAGTGATGGGGACTATTTTTAGGTGCTCCATAATATTGAGAGTACTGTATAGTGCTTAGCTATCAGAAGGGCATCCGCTGCGTAAAACATTCGGTAGATAAGTTGGAGGTTCATTCCGCTGTGGTGATCCCTGATAAATAAAGGGACTAAGTCGACATGAAAATGAATGAATGAGTTCCTAGTTATTTCAGCCAATAAAATAGCAACTTTTCTTTGTCTGTCAGTGTTTTCTTTATGCTAAGCTAAGCTAAAATGCGAGAAGAGAGAGAATTAAATCCATACAGTAACAGAAATAGTACTGGTGAGTTTTTGTAATTATATGTCTGGCAGGAGCACTTTTAGCTTAGTTTAGCATAAATCATTGAATCATATTAGACCGTTAGCATCTAGCTCAAAAATGTCAATATATATATATATATATATATATATATATATATATATATATATATATATATATATATATATATATATATATATATATATATATATATATATGCATTGTGGTTATAACTTCAGTTTACAGCATTTACAATAGGCAATTTGCGCTCCGAAAATGGGATTCAATTGTGTTTTTAATAGATTACAGAGCATTTTTGGTACACACAACTTAGATATGTGTCTTTTAAAGCCATTATAATCTGTCAGATGTGGTTCAAGCGCATTAGAAATACGAGAAAAACCTTTTCAGTGACTGTTTACACGCATTAGCTGCTGACCGGAAGTTCTTAGCATTCTCCTTGTGCATACATGCAAAGCATAATGGGTAATTTTACGTTTTAAGAAAAAGGCCTACAGTTCCTAGCCATGTCAGCCTATCTGCTTGTTAAGTGATGACGTGTTTGTGACGTATGTAATACTGTTTCCAGGTCCAAGCCATCATTGATTTGAGTGGAGAAATCATTCGTTTATGATCGCGTTTTATTCCTATCACACATTAAAGTTAATATTTATATTATAAATCATAGTGTACACAACAATCTCTGGGCTTGCTGCATAACAAAAACCAAAAATGTAACAATTTATATACAAAAATTAATCACTTTCTGGTCATCGGATATTAGGCATGGACATATATACTGCGATCGTGATTTTCGAAAGCCTTAAATCGCTTTGTAAACGTTTATTATTACCATTTCATGAGTCTCCCCATTCAGTTGAATAGAGCGCTTGGAACCGGAAGCCGCTTCGCTTGACGTCACACTTAACAAGTGGATAAAATAGCAACTTTTCATTTTCTGTCAGTCTCAGGAGTGCACAATGTAACTACAGAAGAGTCGAGCTTTAAATCTCTTTGGTCATTTTTTTTTTTTTTGAATGAGATGCCAATGGTCTAATCTGATTCAATGATTTGTGCAAACCTAAAATACTCTTGCCATACCTGAAGATCGGCTTGATGGATTCAAAAATGGTAAAACTCAATTGTTTAACTATTGGGGAGTTGTGAAATTTCTTTCTGGGTGTCAATTTAATGTAAAAGAAACACCTTTTATCACAATTGTTTTTTGACATCACTCACTCTCACATCACTCACAAAAGTGAGTGATTTTTTTGACATCACTCACGCTTTAGACATGTCGTAGCAGGTGAATATGGTTTTTATCTAGTCAACCATATTTGATTTCTTACATCTTTACAGGGTCAGCATCACCCATCTCACTGACCAATGTAAAAGCTGAAGACTTAGGTGTCAATCCCGGTCACAGAAAGGCACATGTGTCACTTCACTGCATTTGCACTTTGGATGGGCAAATTAATTTAACACCCCTAGAGGTTTTCGCGCTTTCTCCTCCTGAATTTTTTAAGGTTGTGTGATTCAAGAGCCTGTGGGAATTGAGTTATGTTCCGAGCTGTGATCGTTGCTCCCACAACAAGCTAAAAATAGACGCATGAAAGTCTTTTTGTTGTTTTGAAATTGTCTTTCTCTGTGGTCTGATTGATTTTAGATAAAATAACAGATAAATGCTGTGTGATACAAAAACTGCGCTTGATGTTAATTAGAGGGTTTCTCTCTAGATTGG